ACAAACCTGCATCTATCGAAGACTACATACTCCTAAAAAAAGCAAACAAGGAACTATGGTCAGAGGATAAAGTCAAATTCAGAACCTTGGTTACCTTTAGAACCAAATTACTATTTAACTCTTTCCCAACAAGGCACAAACTTCATAAGAGGTATCCCTCAACATATTCTGATAAAAAATGTCCAAGATGTGGTTATGGAACTAAGACATGATACACATAGTTTAATGCCCCATAGCAAGGAAATGATTCACAAAGCTATCCCAAAACTAAACAAGTTAATCAACCAGTCCCCCCAAAAAAACATGGTGAAACCACCATGTCAAAAAAAAATTTTCCATTAGATACAAAAGGAAGCGTTTTACTTTTAACAGCCCTAACTATACCTAATAAACATCTGAATAAGATTACGAACAATAAATTAAAAATCAAAATTGCTAACAAATCTCTTAAAGTCATATACAAAATTTGGAAATAACGCTCAGCCACAGCAACCACATCTTTACAGACTGGTATCAAATGGAAGAAGAGTAAAGCGAACAAAAATAGTTCCCCCAAAAAAGAAATAATAACAATTATGACCAGAGTTACAATATATTCAACAATATCTTAGATACAATGAAAATCAATAACAACTCTACAAACCTATCAATTTTTACACCCACTATAATTTCATCATTTTGGAATGAGCATTAGCCATTCGACCTTGCTCTGGTATCCCCAGTCACAGACTGCAAGGGTGTCATAACAAGAAAATCGCAATAGGCTATAGTTAACTTACTATTTTGTAAAGACTATTAATGTATTGTTTATGAATTGAATTTCTAATAAAAACCTGCATTTAATGCTCATTTGCGATAAAAAAAAAATAATAATAATAATTAATAATTAAAGATTAATAATAGAAATTTAATAATTAAATATTAATAATAAAAATTTAATAATTAATAATTAAATATTGATAATAAAAATTTAATAATTAATAATAAAAATTTAATAATAAAAATTTAATAATTAATAATAAAAATTTAATAATTAAAATTTATTAATTAATAATAAAAGATTAATAATAAAGATTTAATAATTAAAAATTAATATTTAATAATTAAAAATTAATATTTAATAATTAAAAATTAATATTTAACAATTTTTTTTTTTTTAAAAAAATATTAAAATTTTTTGGATTAATATATTTAATATTTTTCAAAATAATTGTTTATATAATAAAAATTTTATTTTGCAAATTATTAAATTATGATGAATAATTGTACTTTTTTATATTGATAAAAACATTTAACTAAAAATACTTTAAATGCAATAGATGGATGGTACTATGATTGAAATAAATTAAGCATTATTAACTTTATATCTTATAAAAATAAGAATAATACTTTTAATTTAGTTTTAAATAATATATTAAGTTTTTCATATAAGTCATAAGATAAAAAAATAATCAATATTTTATTTATAAAAAAATTTTTTTGTTATTATTTATAAATTTTTATAATATTAACAATTCTTTTTGATATTATTAGATATTAACAATTCTTTTTAATATTATTAGATATTAACAATTCTTTTTAATATTATTAGATATTAACAATTCTTTTTGATATTATTAAATATTAACAATTCTTTTTGATATTATTAAATATTAACAATTCTTTTTGATATTATTATATATTAACAATTCTTTTTGATATTATTAGATATTAACAATTCTTTTTGATATTATTAGATATTAACAATTCTTTTTGATATTATTAGATATTAACGATTTTTTCAATTAATTTTTCAATCAAATTTTTTAAAATTATATTATTTTTTCAATTCAACAATGAATATTTTATTTGATTACTTTTAAAAATAAACAATTTATAATTAAGATGTTTGAATAATTAATAATTTGCGATTCTTATTTTTTATATTATCATCAAAACGTTGATTTTCAAGTTTAACCTAACTATCAAAGAAAGAAAATTTTCAATAATGAATAAATCATTTTATTTATGGTAATTATTTTTAATAAATGAATTTGAAATTTGAGAAAAAAAAAAATTTTTTTTTGAACTTCAAATAATCTATCGACCATCATATAATTAATTACCACATGTGACCGATACGAATTAGAATAAGTCGAGAAAATTTTATAGGATTTAAAAATTGGATTATTTAATTTCGATGATCAATCAATCAATTTTAAGGTACCGGATATCAAATCAGATGTTTATTTTTATGATAACAATTTAATTTGTAATGATAACCTGGTACTGTCCATAAAGAATATAAATGATTCGTTTGCTAAAAATTCTGTGATTGGATGACGGATGGAATTTAAAATTTTTGAAGAATCCTCAAATGAAACAATCTAGACTGAGTATTGCGATATCGTTTAAACGCGACACGCGGAATCTTATTATGTATGCGAGAAAAAAAGAGAATTCTTTTACAAAAACTTTACCCACCATATAGTTAATGTACAACACGCGGTATAATATGGAGTATATGAATGTTTAAGCTTTATACGATTAGTACAATTAGTACGATTTTTTATGGTGAAGATTTACAGTGTTTAAAAAAATACTGTAGAAATAGGAAACAGAAAAAAAAAAAAATTTTTTTTAAAAAGTCTTACGCGATGTTAAAGCACCGACTGAAAAAGTTCTTATTTGCCAGGGAAAAGAAAGATTTGCTCGATTAAACGATTTCAAAGAAAAATGATTGACGATTCTCAATCCGTTTGACTTGTGAAAACCGAGTTCTTGTCACCAATGCCAGAAGAATAAGCGCCATCGTGGAGTCTCATAGTGAACTTAAAGTAGCGTAACGTGATATTTGTGTATGGGAGTATGAGCATATAAATGAAAACCGAAATTTTCGAATGAACAACCGTCCATTGTTAGAATCGAGAAGAAATTGGAATTATTAAATGACCAAATTGGGGTATATTTGGCGGAAGGGGGACAAAACTATGACAAGTGAATTAATTGTCCCTCGAATCCTTTTTATTTTATTTTTCTTTCACCGTTCACCCCAAAAGCATATTTCCCGTTGTCATAATAGGATTATAAAGGGAAAATAGGATATATTAAGATTGATTTTCAGTTGGTGGGATGCGAGATTATAAAGAAAAAATTGGAATCATTAGATGACCATAAAAGGAGTTGTCGTACGACCTTCACCTTATCTTTCCCACCGGTAAACTGACGCCACGAACGGTCACCATTAGCGGGCAATTGACAAGGCCCAACATGTCGAACCAAAAGATTCTGCTGACAAACCGACATGTCGAGCTAAAATTCTCCTGACAAGGGTCGACAATGTCGAGTCAACAATGCCGAGTTAAAAAAGTTCCTAACAAAGGCAAGCATGCAAATCTAAAAAATTTCCTAATCTCGGATATTTTTATTTTTCTTTCTTATTTCGCATCCTTTGTTCCCGGCGAGAGCGGTGAACCAATGGAACAGGGATCCGGGAGACCTGAATAAGGATGCAACAAAGGGCGAAGGGAGAGAATAATTAAGGCCGAGGCATTCACCACATTGGTGTGCGACCATTGGAAAAAAAAAAAAAAAAAATCTTTATAAATTTCAAAAGTGTGCGACATTTATTTTTGACATCTTTCTTGTGACAAATAGCTTAAATCCTATTTTATCATTTTTACTTCTAAAAAAGGGACATTGGTTTTGCGTTAAGATACGTAACGTACAGTACGTAAGCCGCATGCGGAAGGATCAATTGATAATGTGCATTTCTTCGCGCGCACACTTCCCCGGCACTATTGGAACAAGGATGATGATGATGATGATGATGATGACGACGACGATGCGTTTGTATTGACACGTCAAGGTCCATCAATGCAAGGGGACTTACTCTTAATGTCATTAAAGAAAAAGGAACAACACATAATAACGATGATTAAGACAACGAGATCTACTAATTTCTTGCAGCTCGATGAGCGCCTGATACCTAAATATAGCATCACAACGTATCACATTATTATGTAAAATGTGCGATACAAACAATTCTATTCTTATTGAGGTGTCACCATGTCTCGTTCATTCATTAAATTAAATTGAAGAGTAAACATTTAAATTGACTATTCTCGATTAATCTCGTTCGGCGTGACAACAAACAATTCTCATAAAGGCTTTGTGACCCCGGTGTCTTTTGTGATTGAACGAGATTCGATCTTTAAAAATTTAATAATCATGCATGCCCTCATTCATTACCTGCTTACATTCTTATACGGTATGTACATTATATACATTATATACAGTATATATATTTTTTTTCATCCGGGTTCTCCAATTTTGGCCTTTGTTCGTTTAATTGGATGCATTCGCGATTCCATTTTGGCCCGATTTTCAAAGAGTTTCGTGTCATATCGATGGTGACGATTCTAGGCATCCTCTTTTACCTTTTTTAATTCAACGTTTCGCGGATCATCCGTTTGACGCAAACCGAACGATTGGCGCCGCACCCCTTAATGTCTCTTCATCGGTTTAAACCGATCGTTGGGTAAAATATACATGATCGCCTGCGTCCACCCCTCTCCAACGATGCAATAGTACGAACGAACGAGTTCCTGATCACGACCCGGGGACGGAAAGAGTGTGTCTCGACGTCCGTTACACCACATTAATCAGGTCAGGATGCTACGCAGTTGAACCAATTGTCGGACGGGTGGTTCATGGAAGTGCAACAAGAAATCGATCTTTTCAGATGACGAGATTTAATGATGAACGAGTCAAATCTCTTCGGTCGTCTCCCATTGATCCGATCTTCTTCAAAAGTACTAACTCGATCACCCATTGCTTGCGAAAAAACCAATAGCCTCAATACATCGGTTTACAAAAAAAAAATTTTTCACGACCCTCTCCCCTTATACAATGGCCGATAGCACAAACCTTACCTTTCCATCTCATCCCTCGAAGCGATGACCCTCGAACTTTTCAGTTCGACAATGTGTCAGAAATGTCGAGGAAGCATTTGAATGTCATTAGTGATCCATTGACGTTGTCGGTTGATTGAGAAGGAACTCGACTTGAGAGGTGGAATGCCTGACCTCGGCGGCATTGTTATGCCAAAACAATACCATTAGTCCTTGACCAAGTCCGTCGAACGTCATTGGTATTGTCTGCCTGCTTGATCTCACCTCATTTCACCATCTCCAGGATAACGTCAATGAGGTTTCCATTTCGACAACAATCAACGCGCGCGCGCGTACCACCTTTCCGACAATAAATACAAGCAAACTTAGCTTAACCTGAATCGCAACGAGAAATAAGGATTGCATCAATAACGTGTGCGAAAACACGTCTTTATTAAGTTTAAAAAAATTTTTTTTATTTTTTTTTTAAAAAAACTACGTCCCCCGGTGAACACATGGAGGAACGTCGTGTCAACCCAAAACTTTATCTCACCTGCAACTCAAAAATCACGCGACGATAATATCCCCATTCATGCATGCGCTCGTTGCGACGATGCCCGCGTCGCGCAACAAATAAAAAGTTCCCATGGTGCACGAAGAAGCCCATAGAGTGAATCTCGTGTGGTAACACAGCAGCCTTCCCCTTGCACGCGATGAAGTCGAACCGAGTTCCCGTTCAATTGGTATTCAAAGGGGTGTCGCTCGTTAGACCACGAGAATATACTGCCGTCACCCTTAAAAACTTGATCGGTGCGTGCGTGAGTGATCAATTGGAACTTAACTTGATTCACGCGCGAGATGCGTCCTTCACCTACAGTAAAATAATTTACGCCCATCGGATGTGCGCGGGAACAAACCGGGTGAGGGGGAACCGTCCATGACAATTCAAGCTATTGTGAGATTAAGGGATTGCAAGCAATAGCGGAATGAATTTTGACTCGACGTTGTCAGGCTCGGTGTTAATAAAAGTTATGCGCCACCACCGTTCTCGTTTCAACGCTAAATTTTAAGGTGACAGGATGTCCACAAACAATTGTTGTTCCTTTTGAATGAATTAAAAATCACTCGCAGATCCATTGTCGCACAACTTCGTCGATAGTTCATTATCCGGATTTGGGCTTGTAACAAAAGTAAAAAATATATATACTGTACATACTGTACATACTGTATGTGAAGGCATTCGCTCGGTGAGGATGATGGGTGCGCGAGGTCACACCGACTGCCAGGAGAGATGAGACGTTACCCATTTTGACACACACGACCATTCCGATTGTCCCTGGGTTTCCTCTCGATTCCATTAGAAGGAATAATATCAATCATTAGACTGTGATCGCCAAATTTTTATTCATTGTTGGATATATTTGCGAGACAAAAAAATTGTTCATTCATCACCATTGCGTATTTAATGATATGCTGTCAATGATTAAGGGGGAAAGGAAACGTGAACCATGAACAGTGCGTGGAAAAGAAGTTTGACTCAATTTAGAAATATCTTCAAGAATATTAAGAAAGGGGAGAACAATGTTAAGCATGAATCACACAGAATTCGCATTCACCGTGTCTAGTGTGAAAGAAGCAAGACGAGGGGAAAACCGCCATCAAACATTCTCACGCTGACCGTGTCGTTTGCAAAATAAATAAATGAATGAATGAATGAATAAATAAATGAAAAATGAAACCGTAATTCGCGCGAACTACATTACGCACGTATTACCCCACCCCGCCTTCACATCCTTGCCTTCCGGTGACCAACATTACATAATGATCCGCCCGGCGCTAATAATTGCGACCGAAATGATGATGCCACCGGAGACAGCTACAATAACATCATCAAATCAACTTAATTAAGGTTAAACAGTCATAAATGCAATCAAAGGAATACCAATCACAAGTCAAACGTTATCAAACACAATCGCAAAAAAAAAAAAAAAATAAGATAAAATAAAAAGGAAAGGAAAGGAATGCCTTAAAAGGTTAGAACTAATAAATTCGGAAAATCCAATTTATAATTATGTAGCACGGGATTTATTTTCGCCACGCAGTTACTGTATTTTTCGTTGATGTCATTTTTTCGAAATTACCCATTGCGTACAACACCCTGCCCACCACGAGGTCACATCCGAGGAAGGGAATGTTAATGTTGCCACATAATCCGAGATTTTTAATGAATTTACCCGACATTCGGTGATAGGTGTGTGTTGGATAAAAAAACGTTCCTTCCCCAATCATCGATCGGCGAGCGAGAATTGGGCTATTCAAGTGACTTGACCATTTCTCCTCCTCCTCTCCAAAACCATAAATCCGAGATCACCATCATCAATTTGTGTGCACGTTGTTAAAAAAAAATTCTTTTTTTGAGCACTCTTCCGAGTCAGCTAATTCGTGATTTATTTTTTAACTTCCTATATTTTTAAATATTATCGCCGAGTGAACAACTAACTTATTGATATTGTGGTTAAGCTTAATGTTGATACAATACATTAGCACAAATATATTTCTTTCCTGTTTGATCAGCGGCCAAGGTATCACCACCCTTATTATTTTTACTTATTTGACATCGAGAAAATAAACAAAAAAGGGGGTGACACAAATTTCATTAACTCGCACCGGTGGTGGATATTCTTTTTGGTTTCCGGGACTGAAATTGCTTAACCGGAAGGTGCCTCTCGGCTCTTTCCGTTCATTTATGTACAAGATTAAGATTTGGTGTACACCGGTACACCGGGGTGGGCTGAGCCGGCAAACCTTTCAGTCAAGTGTCATCCAGTATGAGGATGGCGGTAGCGTGTTATCATCAAACGTTTTAACCATTGACCATTAACAATAAAGGAAAAAAACACCATTGCCTCCTCATGATTAACAAGTGAAAAACTCGTAAACAGTGACCGACGATGGTGCACGCCATTGCGAGCGAGCCGTGAGAACGTATTCTGAATGAGAGAGAGAAGTTTGGATGGATGAATTGATGGATTAGAACTCCTTAAAATGTTACCGGAAATCGAAACACGAATTCTTTGAAAACCATGCACACATGGAATCTCGCACATCGAAACCAAAGCAAGAACGAATTTGAGCAACAAATGCGGTATCCATCAACGTAATTCACCGTGCCATTTTTACTTCATTTATTTATTATTTATTTATTTATTTACGTATTTATTTATTATTCGAGATATCATTAAAAATACGCTTAATGCAGTGCAGCATTAAAGATGTGAATCTGAATCACGAGTTTATAACGGATGATAACGTTGGGTATAACTAGAAATATAGTTAGCCCTCGGTTTTTGACTTTTAGTGTTGCCCAAATTTGGAAACAGGCAATATGTGGGAAGGCATAACTTTAATTTCCTTAGATATGAGATACGCAATGATGCGCCGAGTATTAATGTCATTACTGACACCATTGGTACCACCGATACCATTTAACTTGGGTCGTGGTTGACCTTATAGATTGTTGGGCGCTCGATAGGACTTTTTTTTTTTTTTCTTTTTTTTCGTAGATACAGTAATGTTTCACCTAATCTTTACCTTGAATTTCTCGCCTACCCTTAGATTTCACATGATTATATCCAATTTCGCATTGTCATTATCAAAAGAGACCGAGATAAGATAAGGCTCATCAAGTCAGCCAGTCAGCCAATCACCGATTTCAGAGATTACACCTTTTTTTTTTTTTTTTTTTTTTACAATTTAAGGTTGCGGAAAAAAAAACTCCATCATTTTCACATTACTTTACGCAACTTCTAGTTTGTTTTTTTAAGGTTTCCCTGAGCTTTGCCATTTTTTGATTGGGCAGGCACACCACCCAACAATTTAATTTTAATGAGGCCTTTTTTGTCTGATGAATTAATTAAAAAATATTAAAATCGGATGGTGTGTGTAAGATACGCACACAAAGTTTTTTTTTTTTTTTTTAAAGAAAAAAGATGACATAGTGATTGCACAAGTGCCATCTCAACACTTATTCAATCCAAGAAGAAACAAAGTTGCGATGTGTATTATATGTATGTATTATATTAAACTCTATGAAATATCGTCGTCATTATCACCATCATAACAATATGATGTCAAGCTTCCATTATTCATTTCATCCACCATGCAAATGTAAAACGTAAGAGAGAATAAGTTGAGTTTCCGCAACAACCGCCTATCGATTTGCCCGCCTTTATGGTAAAAAAAAGAAATGAATGAATGAAAAAAAAAAGGAAAATCTTTTAGGCAAACTGTCAACAATCAAAATACGTGTTATTATATTGCGATTCACTAATCGGGTTACTTCGGAAAATTAACCTCGAAATTTGGCAAGAATTCTCAAGGATCTTCTTCAAATGTGAACATTCGATCTGATCTTACACATTATTCGCGTGACACCATTATTTACACATGACGAATTTTTATCATCGAGAGCAGAGCGATCGTGCACAGTGCACGCAAAACTTATATAAAACAGATAAACAAAAAAGACGTCAAAGGAGACGACGAAAGCATCATCCGAAGAATCACGATCCCTCGAAATGAAATCGATCGATCTCGAATCTCCTCCCCTCCCCCTTCAAACTATTTAACAATAATTTCACAAGATCCGAGTGATCGAATCATCTCGTTAACTGTCAACCGTATTGTGTTATGTGTTCGGGAGATGTATCATTTAAAGGATTTGAGTATTATTTCTGATTGATTGATCGGTCGATTGGTTGATTGATGCAACGAGACATACGCGCGCATTTTTAAGAATCAACTTTCTAATCAATTCCTAGACATAGGACTGGTTTTTCGTTCGTTCGTTCAATTCGTTATCGTTAAAATCGTAAACCCCGCGCCGCACTTCTTCGTATTATTCGCACCGTGGTAACCTTATCAACCTTTGATTGAGTGATGAAAGACACGTGATTGGAAGAGACGCTCGATAAACGTGAATTGTGAAATCATAATTACTAAAACGTGTGAACAATATTTTCATTACTCAGCGTTCCCCGGGTGGTTCGTTTTCTCATTAGGTAATCTTTGATATTTCATGACGAGGCAATGAGACTCCGATCTTGGGTGTCATTCGTTCCGGAATCGCACATGATTCGGGTTCATCCGCCCAGGCCAGTCTTGTTCTCCTCCCGTCGAAAGTAAGGAATGTGTGACGAATAGGACAATGCAGAATTATTGGCGCGGTCATTCCAGTAACCACCGATGATTGTGTGTGGTTCGAGAAAAACATTTAGATTTTACCAACTCCAACCCTATTTTTTTTTTTTTTTCGTTTCAAACAATCGTGTCGAAGGAGTAACAAAGGGGAACAACCATTAAATCTGGCAATTAACGAATTCCTTAAAATATCCAGCGATTGTCACGATTGCTTATTCGCAAGAATTTTGCATCACACACGGTGCATCCGTCACATGGGGCTTTTTTTTTCTTTTTTTTTGTGCTAATAAAGAGTCGTAAAGAGGTGCGTCGTTATTAAAATTGACACCTTTTGGGGACTTATTGTTGTCGTCATGTCTTCCAATTAATCTGCAGAGAAATGTTCTTTTCAACGGGGAGTGCTCGTTGATTCTTTGTCATGAAGGAATTATCTGCGTACCGACACCACTTGTCTCTCTCCCTCTTTTCTGATTTTGAACAAAATCCCACTTGAAATTTCCAAAAAGAGTAAAATTCCCTTTTTTTCTTTTCTTTCTTTCTTTCTTTCTTTTTTTTTTTTTTTTTTTTTTTTTTTTTTTACATTAAAATATGTGATTTCCAATTCCAATTAATGATTTTAAATGTCTATGTGTCAAACAAAAAAAAAAAAAAAGGTCGAACAGCCAAAAATGACCAAAGAAGGATCAAATACGTGATGGTCGTCGTCAAAATTTTTTTGAAACGTCGACCTCATTTCACGGTGCACCGTGAAATTAAGCTACTCTAGTCGAACCTTAAAAAAAAATGGTTAGTTTAAAATCTCGTTTTTTTTTTTCGCTCTAACCCAATATTCAACAAAAAAAAAAAAGAAGGAAATAAAGAAAAAGAAAAAAAAAAGAAAAAAAAAAAAAAAATGCGTTGCATATGAATTTTCGTTAAAAAAAAAAATTTTTTTTTTTTTATTTTCAGAAAGAATATCATCTAATATCATCTATTTTTATTTTTATATTGTGTTCATGTTGATTCGACTTCGACTGAATTTTAAATACTATGTTTTATTATAGTATGCAAGTATTAAGGTGAAATACAATATAAATAAATTTTTTTATACTGCAGATGCACGTACATGAAATTTTATACTTTGTTCCTCTTTTCTCTGACAAAAAGTTTTATCATCATATAATAAACTACCCACATACGTAAAAAAAAAAAAAACACCTACACACAACATCAAAACTCAGACACAGAGAGATACTCCCTATTTTTTTTTTTTTTTTTTTTTGAAATTATCAACTCTAAAAAAAAAAAAAAACTCTAAAATACGCCTACTCATACATATTATATTATGTACACTATACACATATATTATGACCTACATGTCTCAAACGTAGCATAACATATATTATTCGCATTACTTTTTTAAACTACTTTTTTTTTTTTTGGCCGAAATTGCACCCTCATTTCTACACCCCACCCTCGCTCTAAATTTTCATCATATAAAGTGCCTTTAAACCCACCGACCAAAAAGAAAAAAAAAAAAAAAAAACCTAGAGAAAAAATTTTCGTTTTCTTTTTTTTTTTTTTTCTTATAATAAAATATATATAATAAGTAAGCCGCAATATATACAGGCTCAACCTTTTTTTTTCTTCTTTCACCTTACACACGCGCACACCTTTCTTGCTTTTCGGTCATTGATTGATCTAAACAGTGAGAAATAAAAAAAAAAATTATCACCAGTAGTTAGTCGCCATATAGAGTAAGAAAAAAATTTCTACCTTTCACCATAAAGAAGCGTAATTCAAAGAGAAAAGGAAAAAAGGTCACACGCTACCTTCACCGAAAAACCTCCGAGAACAAACACACACACACACACACACACACACACACACACCACCACAGAACAACCCGGGTACATCACAACTCATACGCACGGGAAACTTTCAACAAATATAGTCACTTGGTGAGTCTTCTTTCTTTTCCTTCGCTCGACAAAAAATCGGCTCGACATTCTCATTGTCGTCCCGTAAAGCTTATCGCAATCGAGATTAATTGATAATTAATGATTGATTTTGAAATAATTTCCCTGGTCATTAAGTTCATCACCAAATCCAACAAATTATCTAACCCATCTATCTTCCTCTCCCATACACAACAACAACAGGATAAAATGGAAACCTACTACGGATACGTTAAGACACCTCAAGACGCCATCCTACTTTTCGAAGCATGCCGAATGGGTACTCTGTCCCGCATACAACGAAGGTTGAGCGAAAAGGAAAGATCCTTAATTCGCTCGGGTTCGGTGTTTGTGTGGGACGAACGTGAGGCTGGCATGCGAAGGTGGACCGACGGTAAGAGTTGGTCAGCCAGTCGTGTCAGTGGAAGTTTTTTGACCTACAGGGAGCTGGAGTCAAAGCGCAAATCAAATTCTCGCGGTAGCAACAATCCTCATGATCTATCCAGCGAAGACACCGACTCGAGCGAATCCTACCACTCCTCCACGAAAAAATCCATGTCATCGTCCACCACGGAACAGTGCAGATACAAACACGGAGGTCTCGTCAAACAATCATTCAGCATAACCACCACGAACAACCAAAAACTTCATTTAATATGCTACTACACAAAGGCTGACGTCGTCAATGACAAATTGCCGATTCCCACCCACGACGAGAAGTTGAAAATCATCCACATACCCAAAGGAATGTATCCCGAGACCTCGAATGTGGACGGTGTACCTCACGTTCATCACTACGGAAGCGGTGCATCTACCCCTCACCACCAGCATCACCATCATCACCATCACCACCAACACAGTCATTCCGGTTTTGGCGACGCCTCCGGTATTGAACGATCAATCTCACCAAGTCCTTATTCGTGGCAAATGCAACAATCATCCCACACCACCTCACACCAACACCGTCTTTCCTCCGAGCCCATGCAATTCGATTCGCATTCGGCTTGTTCGACACCTTCCATCTCATCATCTCCCTCAACAACTGAAGACGACATCCCCAACTTCTTCAATCGTTCCAATTACTTCCAACACCACGCTGGCGGTAGCACTGCCTCACTACCTGTCTACCCACCTTCCAACTACATTCAACCCCCGTCGACGGACAACGGTGGCGCCGGTTTTGGTAATTGCACGCAGCCCATTAATATCCCCAATGCTACTCCGAGGTTCACTTTCCCGGCCCCTCAACAACTACCTTTCCCGGCGTCCTATCCTCCACAATCATCTTCCCAATCAAATGGCTCTCAACTGTTACCTCAAGACATCCCATGGGAAAAGATCGCAAATACCGAAGATCAAAGACAGTTGAACGCGATTTACATGACCTTGAAGCTTTAAGGTTTGAAAAAGTCGAGCAGACGACGGTTGCAATAATTGTGTGATATAGAGAGGTGGATTGATGTTGAAATGATTTTCCGTTTAATATTATTTCACTCGAGCTTGCATTTAGTATACAAACATATATCAATACCTAATTATCAGAGGGGATAGAGGCAATATGACGACTTTCTTGTTTTGGTCGTAAGAAACGCGAAGTCGTGGGCAGGTTCCTTAAACTTCTATATTTTTTTTTTTCTTTAATTTTTTTTTTTCTTTCTCCTAATGGAAAAAATTGCTGGCGGGTTTAATCTTATAATTTTGGCCAATCACCAACCGATACTTGCGGAAAATGTATGACCCGTCTCCTATTTCCGTTTTATTACATTTGCATTTGATAGCAATTGATGAGAACCATAACATTTTGATACTCGTCATATAATTACACCTCACGGACACTCAATCAATCTACCCCCCCCCCTTATATATCTTATAATAATATTTACTATTTCACCTTTGCTTTTATTTCTCTGTGTATAACCTGCGTTTTATTATAATGTACAGAAAAAAATTTTTTCTTCACTTTTCCTTATAGACTTTCAAAACTTAGACTTTTAGCATATACAAAATATAGAGATTTAAATATAAAATATATATTATCACATACACACCACACACCAATCAATATTAGAAGTGTTTATTATTATTATTTTCTTCTTACAAATTTGCATGTCTTTCCTTGCTTAGTTTATGCAAATACTGCAATCCCTTTTCTTTTTTCCTTTACTTCCTTTTTTTTTTTTTTTTTTTTTTTTTTTTTATACATTCGCCTTATTCTTTTTTCTCTTATAGACGACATTACGACAGAGTTATAATTAAGCAGTATAATTTTCACCGCTACACAAATAAATACTACTCTCTATAGAATCAAAATATGGGAATGCGGGTTTAAATTCCTTATTATTTTATTTTTAGTTTACTATTATTAGTGTCTATTATGAATGATTTATGACACGACAGGTTTATGCCGTCTTTCCTCATGAATTCGCACCAAACGCTTAAATTTTTGACTTTAGACAATGATAATAAACGCGGATATGCGTATAAGAATAGTTTCATCACACGAATTTCCAGAGGTTACCAATTACCCCGTCAAGATAAGAAATAATATTAAAAGATTATAAAATTATATGCATTAAATGTCAAAAATTAGATATCATATATATATATATATTTTGTAACCCATTACAAATATTGTTTGAAATTAATCAATGTGTAATAAAACTTTAATTCAATTAGGGCGAAAAAAAATTATGTTATTATGACGACAGGTTAGATAATCCAAATAATCAAAAGTAGAACCGATTAATTAATTAACAATCGATTACACCGTATGCAAAAAATGTTTCGAAATCTGATTGTTCAATAGACCGACGACGGATTGTAAATTTCAGGTTCGAGCGGTTTGTGTAAATGTGTGAATGGTAATTTTCTAATTTTAAAATTGGTTTTACCGTGTGTTGGTCTTTTGTTTATGGAATTAAAATTAATTTCATCGTACTGTGTGTGTGTGTGTGCATGATTTTATTGCACAGTAGATGGTGTGGAGGATACGGATAAACGTAATCACAGATAAGAATCATAAAATGAATTTATAATAGAAACAATACATAAAAAAAACTTTTATCAACTAAACTAACGTGTTTATTAATTATTGTACTGTGCTGTACAATAATAAGTAAGATCAATGATGAATGATTACTTTTGAATGTGCCAAGAATATTAATTAAAATAATGCTCTATTATAGTTCCCTGACGAACGGATCTTGATTATTATTATTATCGATTTACTTACGTAATCAACTGGTCTACAAAAATTATATCAATCAAAGATCAATATACCAATTGATCAAAGTTTTTTTTTTCCTCTAAAAACAGATAGTCGATTTATTTGATTATTTGAAAAATGGATCTCTATATTTGAAAAATGGATCTCTCTACCTCTCTCAAATTTCAAAATTTTCAAGAATCGATTTTTTTTTTTTTTTTTTGTTATTGATAACTTTCATTTGCAAAATTTCATCTTATCAATTTTTCACATTTGTTTAAAACTTAAAATCAGAACAAATTTTATTATTAATTTAATAAAAAGTTTATTTTTAAGTCATCAAAAAAAATTTTTTTAATTAAAAAAAAATAAATCAATTTTATATTTGTTTACAGTATATAAAAAGGGATTAAAAATTATTATTATTATTTTTTTTTTTTAAATCACAATTGATATAAAAAAAAATTAAAAAATAAATAAATGTTTGAATATTAAAACTAATTAAATTGATTTTTATAACTAGCTATAATATATTAAACTTTTTCATAAATCTAGTAAAAAGTATTTAATTAAAAAAAAATAAAAAAAGATTAATTATATTATAAAAAAAAATTAATTTAAAAATCAATAAATAGATTATATAAATATAAAAAAAATATTAAATCATTAAAAAATAAATTTGAAATGTTGAATTCAAAAGTCAAAAAATATTTTGAGTCAACAAAGATTAAATTTATATAAAAAATAGAGAAAAAAATAAAAATTTTATAAAAAAAAGTAAAAATATAATATAATATAATATAATATAATCAAATTTTAATTTTTGCTAAAGTTTAACAATAATCTACAATAGTAATTTATAAATAATAATAGATTTTTAAATATTTAATATATAAAATTTCACAGTTTACTTATAATATATTTTATTTTGAGAAATAAAATTCATGATTTTTTCATTTTAATAATGACAAAATTTAAAAAATATTATAAATAAAAAATTTAACTATAGAAATAATTTTTTTATAGTTATTAATTTAAAAATTTTAATGTTTTATAGTGAAAAACATTTGACTTTAATCCTTATCTTTTTCTTTAGAAACCTATTTTTATTATAGGTAATAATAATGATAGTTAAAAAAATTTTTATATAAATTATTAATAAATTAATAAATCATTTTAAAATTATATTTAAAATAAATAATATTAAAATAAATAATTTAATTAAAAAATTTGTTTTGATAATATATACTATATTTATATAATATATAATTCTTTTTATTGATTCTTTGATCATATATAAACAAAATATTTACAAGAAGTTCTTATATCTCTATATTAATAAAACTTTAACATTTTTCTTAAATTAATTTGAATAAAATTTTAAAATTTATTTTTATTTTCTTCTTTTTCCTATTAATACTTTTCTTTAAATAAAAACTTAATTTCAGATAATCAAAATATTAAGAAATTTCTTTTTTACTAATGACTAAAAAGTTTTTAAAAAAAAAAAGTCAAATATTATTATTTATTTTTTATTTTTTTTTACCCTCTATCAAATTAATTATATATATTTTATTAAATATTAGTATTTTATACATATTAAATGTGCTACTAAAGCTAAATCTCTAATTAGTTCTCTCATCTTAATTATTATTACTCTAATTATAACTTTAAGAATAATTTATTACTTCATTAATAGTTTAGGTGAAAACCTTTATAACTACTAATATCATTGTATGTATATATATATATATATTTTTTTAACAGGGGATACAGAGACCCAGTTTTATTGAGATTGTAGCAGCAAGTTAATAAGGTACAATTAAATTACAGACTATAGTAAAGGCTATATTACTTTAAATTTTATAACTCTACCACACCTTTCCCTTTTGTTAGTGACTAATGGTTACAATAAATCTATTTTTCACAATCTTTTATGTAACTCATGTGACATATTATCAGAAGAAGCCCTACTACCCACTTTACTTACATTCAGGTCTTTACTATTTATATTTGCCTATCAACTGATTCAGACCTGAAACTTCTTTCATATCTTATCCTGCTGAATATTCTTTTTATACCACCTATTACAATATGCCTATAGAATATTCACGTAGAGTCTTAGACATCATCTCATCACATTTGAGTACCCTTTTTATATGATCTATTACAGCCTGTTTATGGAATGACCACATGGAGTCTTGAATAAATTATTCAAACCCTCTTCTTTTGTAACATGCCTAGGCACTATTAGTCCCTGAATTTTTTTAGTAAACAGATCTTCAGCCTATTCACAGGAGCTTATTGGAACCTGTTTTTATGACGAGGTGACTTCAGCATCAAAACTGGCTGAAGTATCTTGTGATCTTTATTTATTCTATAATCGGACGGGATCTTGATCACAAGTGGCAGTGATTATTATTATAAGATAGATAAGATTTTCCTATATTATCTAGGTTTAGATGATACTACCTCACAATAGTATTAAACTTAGAAACAGTACTTGGTAACCTGGAAGTGTTACCACTATGCTATTGATCCACAGGTCTTATTGCATATAGATTATTACCATAGATATATTATTATTATTATTATTTTTTATAATTGCAATTATGTCATAATGATTTGTCTTTATTAAAAAATTAAAATAAATTTTATAATGGTTTACAGACTTTTACAAAGTGATTAACTCATCTTTAAATATAAGTACTCTAGATCAGATTTTGGAGACAATATTATACTTCTCTGATAGATTAATAATAATCTCTATCTATCAGGATTATTGTTAACAGTTTATTATTGTTGATTAATCCAAAAACTAACAAATTGTTAAGTTAAAAAGAAAAAAGGAAAAAATTATTTGAGAAAGAGAACAATTTAAAACCTATTAAAAAAGTCTAAAAATAAAATTAACCTCTTTTTAAAAAAATTTATCTAATTGGAATAGTCTTTTTGCTTCATTTGAACTTAAAAAAAAAATCCTTTTTTTTTACTTTTTTTTTTTTTTTTTTTTTTAAACCCTCTGTCAGGCTAAGTATGTGTGCTTTATTAAACATATGTATACTTTACATTAAAAATGTATCGCTAAAGCTAAGTCTCTACCTAACTCA